CAAAAACAGTTAAAAAAAACTTCCCCACAAGTTGTGAATGAACCAAAAACAGAAATATTGTAAATAACCCATTCCTTTTAATATAAATCCATTTTGAGTTTATAATTTGGGAAAACTAAGCATTATTTAAAAAAGAGAAATAGAGAGAAGGCAATACAAGCATTAATGTGCTATTGGAAAACTCTCTTTAAAATATATATTTCCTTATAGGTTGGATGATTTAATTTTTAATACCACTAGCTGTCAATTTGACAAATTGTATTCTTAGCAAGAACCAACCTGGTTTGATGTGACATGTCCAGGAGTTATTGTTTAAAATGTTTACTTCATAAGGGCAACAGAGCCTTGAAGGAGAGTAAGTAAAGAGACAGCTTGTAATTCAGGAGGACCAGTTAGAGGGAATACTTTCTACTAGCCATACTATAACAGGTACATCTTTTCATGCAAATAAATTTTGAACATTATGATCCATAAACCAATAAAGCACAAACGTTTGGAAAAAACAGAGATGAAGGGGGAAATCTTTATAACAACAAAATAGAAAGTAAATGGCTAATACAATCTCCACATGCATTTATTACACAGTGAAACACTTTCAGGCCTAAATAAGTCCATAAAACAAGCTGTTTTGTTTCAAAGCTAGCTATAAAATGAAAGCGAAAACATTATAGTAAATAAAGTCTTAATGTAGACTATCAGTTTGACTTCTACTAATGAATACCAATTCAAATGAATGTAGAAGAAAAAACAGTAATAGCAACCTTAATTCAGAAATTAAATATATATGTTACTTTACTTCATATAGTTTATAGACCTAATTCAAACTCTTGCCCTTAGCAAAGAATAAAGAGAAAATTCCATTATTTTAGTTCCTCGTGAATAGATATAGAATCCTTGCGAAACCTAGAAGTTATTGCCTTACTCTAGTCTAAAATATAATCCAAGAATTTTCCAATGTTCTTTCATTCAAATATGTATATACCATTACTACTAAAACTGTTGTGTAAGTTTAATTATGTGTAACTGTCAATTGAACCAAATAGTGCATTACAGGGTGACAATTTTTGAATCCATGTACTTCAGATGGGCTAATTTACAGAATGTATCCAAAATCTGAGACCCATTATCCTTGTGGGATTGAAATTTGGCAAAGTTGTGGCCACTTCAATGCTACCACGCTGCTGCTCCATTTCTCTGCTGCAATTATGTCCACAATCATGTCCTTTCAGATATTCCCTGCAAGCTTCCTACAAGGAGAAGCCATCAGGAAGTCAGATGTTCCTCCCAGTCCCATCGCTTTTTTTTAATCCAGCCATGGTTTTTCTATTTCTTCTATCTATTCCCTTAACAGACCATAACAGAAAATTCACCTCGTATATCTCATGATATCATTGGGGCACATACATTGGAAACTAAAATTTCCTACAGCAGGAATCTGAAAATTATTATAAGCAATTTATACCTCCAACAGAATACAACAGCAGATAACTTCTACAAAGTTATCAAAATGATAGAGATAAAAGCATCAAAATTAAAGCAAGTAAGTGTATATTGGGGACAACAATTTTATCCTCAAAAGATAATCAATATTTATAAATAGCTATACTTCTGGTGTTATAATAACTATTTGTTACAAGCCATGTCATGTTAACTTTGTTCATCCCAATATGCATAGCTAAAAATCTATGGAGATTCTCAGTCATCCAGGTCATAGTTGTCCCAAAGGAACTTTTTTGGGAGGCATGGTTGTGGATGACTGAGAATCTCCATAGACTTTTAGCTATGCACTTTGGAATGAACACTCTTCAAATGGTATAGGAGTATGAACAGATTTCCAGAAAAAATGCAGACTACAGGAACCATTTGCACCTCAGTTTGAGATGCAGACAACACAGACTCATCCTCAACAGCCTGCACCTATCTTTAACACTGAAGTGACACAGGGCAGAAAACATCCTGCAGCCAAGAAGGCTCCACACCCATTTGTACTACTCAGGTGACCCTGAGGACACAGATAAACCTCAATTGCCTAAATGACTCTCTAAAAGAATGCAAATGACCAGCCCTCTGCAAAAAATATAAATAGTTCCATTCCCGACTATCCAGTCAGAGCTGAAGAAGATGAGAAGCAAAATTTATTCAAAGGAAAACAATAAAGTCTAGTTGCCTCCTGAAAAAGCACCTTTGGGACAATCATAACCTGGATGACTGAGAATCTCCATAGACCTATACCATGTCAATACTGTATACGACCATCCAGACTCTGATTGAAAACCCCTAGTGAAGGGGAAGAAACTATTCCATGCAGTATCCTATTCTACTGATTTTTTACTTGTCAGCTTTTACTGACAAGAACATATTCTTAAGGTCTAATCTGTATCTACATCTTTGATGTTTCATCCCATTACTTCTAGGCTTATCCACTGGAGCATGTGAGAATAAATATAGACCCCCTACAATGTGACAGCTCTTCAGAGATTTTTAAAACAGTATACTGTCTTCCCTCAACCGTCTTTTCTATTAGCTAACCATACTTAGATCTTTTAATGTTCCTGATAAGACTTGGTTTTCAGTCCTTTCAGTGTTTGCTAGCTCTTCTGTGGACTCTTCTTCCAATCTATTATTCTTAATTACTTAGCCAAACTGGGAAGAAAACATTAAGGGTTTATCCTTGTTCATGCTATGCAGCTTATGACTAATTTCAAAGAAGAAGGATATAAAATTGGATACAGAACTCTCCTTCTCTGAGTAAACCATCTCTAGTTTGAATAACAGAAAAAAATATAATTTAAAAAATATCTGTACTCTTTCTAATAATTCCACATTCACATTTTTGCTAGAGATTCATACTCACCAATCTATCTACTTGTATCAAGCAGAGGATAAGCTAAGGAACTGCCATTTTCTATCACTACTACTATCCTTAAAATATCATTTAGCAAAAACGTGTCTCTGTTATTTAAAGATGAATATAGATTACAGTTCTTAAAAAATTAAAAACCAAAAATAGCATTAAACTACAGATGAAAATTGATGTATACACATTTCTTCTCATATACTTTTATGTGCACTTTTATGCAATATATAATTTTGTACATAATGTACATCCAGCAGCTATTTTCTCTGATAATGTATTGTATCTTTTTTTGTAATATGAGATGTTTTCATTTTTTTCCTATAAAGTATGTTGCAAAATCATTATCATCAGGCATTCAGTTGCGTCTGACTCTTGGCCACTATGAAACAGCACTTTTCAAACAGCTCCTCTATCTTGCACTACCTCCTTCAAATCTTCCATGGTCATCTGGATGTCTACTTTTATAGCAGGGGTGGGTTCTACTTACCTTTACTATCGGTTCGCAGCGGGCCGCACATGCGCTCTTCTGCGCATGCGTAGAAGCGTTTTGATGACATTGGGGTCGGTGGGCAGAGCCTCCCGCCGGTTTTACTACCGGTTCTATAGAACCGGTGCGAACTGGGGGCAACCCACCACTGCTTTATAGCCAATGGGTACTAGAGTGGCCCTTCTCCCTTTTCCACTGATAATTTCCAGCATGATTGATTTTTTGAGGGAGTCAGCTCACATGATATGGCCATAGCAAAAAATATGTTACCTTTTGTTTGGCAATCTTGGGTTTAAGTGACATTTTTGGTTATGCTCAGTCTAAGATTTCTTTATTTGTGATTTTTGCAGTTCATGGGACGCATAATAGTCATCTTCCCACCACTACCATCATGGTGTGGTATGATTGGACTTTGTGTGGGGAAATATTTTACATACTAGTGTAAAACAATTATGTTTCAGTTTAGGTGTGAATATATTTCCATCCCCTAGTTATTAATGAGTAAGTCCTACTAAGTTTAATGGGATAGACTTTGAGGCAATACTTCTGTATTGCAGAAATCAAATTTAGGACTTAAAGGAATAAATTCCACCCAAGATGCCAATTATAGACAATATGAGCCGAGGTGGCGCAGTGGTTAGAGTGCAGTACTGCAGGCTACTTCAGCTGACTGCTAGCTGCAGTTTGGCAGTTCAAATCTCACCGGCTCAAGGTTGACTCAGTCTTTCATCCTTCTGAGGTGGGTAAAATGAGGACCCAGAATGTTGGTGACAATATGCTGACTCTGTAAACCACTTAGAGGGGCTGTAAAAGCACTATGAAGTGGTATATAAGTCTAAGTGCTATTGCTATGACTAACAGAAAATAACAATTTTCTCTTTCTATATTTGGTTGATTAAGTGAAGCAAGGATACTAAATAAAACAATAAGTAAAACATTTTAGCCCTGATCAATAGGCTATAGAGTACTTGGCAGAGTCAAAGCAAAAACCCTTTGAGACATATTACACGCAAGACAGTATCAAGCACTGTGATATCATGTCAGAGGACAAAGATACCTAGTACCTTTGAAAACTATATAATTATTGCTGTCAGGTTTAAGACATAACGCAATTTAGTCTAATGCCTACACTGCTATTCTATTATTGTATTGCTAAGCAGAGAAAAACCATGATTTCTCAGATGGCTTGATCTGAAAAAGGAATATAAACTACTCTGCTTACATGTTTGGCTTGCAGCACTTGGCTAAAAATCTGAGTGCCATAATGATTAGAACATAGAACAAATGTGATTTGAAGTCTTGCTCATCCATGTTAGTATTTGGTCCAGCCAAAGGAAGAATTTCTGATTCATTTTTTCTATCTACAGATGCTTGGCTTGAGGTTGTTCACAGATCTGATTCTTGACTACAGATTTGATTTTGCTGTGAGAGATGAAATATATAGAATTTGTTCTAACAGAAAAATCCTGGGTTGTTTCTTTTTAGGAAACATTACCTAGGAGAGTCTTTTTTTTTTTTTTTTTGCTCTCATAATAATTTTATAAAGAAAGAAAGTGATTGTGGTGTTTTATATTCTGTATTGCATTTACAATATAAAACAAAGGATCTGACCTGTTAGAAACATAAGAAAAAAGTTCCATTACAGAGTACAGTTACCTGTCATATCACAGTAAACTTTCAAAGGTCCCAGTGCACCACTGCCATCTGGATCTATCCAATAAGAACCTGTTGTTTTGCCCAAATGCTTATATGCTTCACAGGAGAGTTCATAAAGAGCTGAAACAAACAAAACCAGTAATTCAAGTAAGTAACCTACTTGAGATTCAGGAAAATTATATATTTAGAAAAAGTCATAACTCTGTAAGAAAAGCTGTAAAAGAAGCACTGTAAAACCCCATTGCATTGTAAAACCCCTTTGCTTGCACTAGAAAACTGACATCAGGCGCGTCTTATTAATTAGCATCTGAGCAGAAAATATTGCTTCAATTGCTAAATAGAGATGGTTTGATGGGATCAGAAAATATGGAACTGATTCAGGAAAAAAGCAAATATTATGTGTTTACCTACTTATAACTGCATACTTGTTTCATAACTGCAATAATTATTCATTTGTCTGTTCCATTTTTGTTTATGTATTTATTAATATATTTATTTGTTTGTTAAATTTATTTGCCGCCCATCTTGCCAGGGGCTACTCCAGATGGCTTACAACAGTAAAATGGAGAAAATAAAAAAATGTAAACATAAGAAATAAGCATAATAATATCAACAAGGAAAGTACCTTGTAATATGGATGGAGGTGGAGCAGAAGTACAAGTGGGAGTTAGGTCAACTGATTAAGCAAATAGCCACCTCCAGTGTAGTACTCTCCTACTGGGGCTCCAGGTCAACAGCAGAGTCAGGCCTCCAACTTTCTAAAAGGATAGGGGGGCAAACCTCACCCCAGAGGACAGCATGTTCCAGAGGGTGAGTGCTTCAATAGCGAAGCTATTCTCCTGGATCCCACCACCCAGGTTTCCTTAACTGAAAAGGTCCACAGCAGGCCTCCTTTGTCAGTTGTGGAGTTTAGGCTTGTATTAGCAGGATGGGATGGTCCATCAAGTAACCCTGACTCATGCCATGGAGGGCTTTGTAGGTCATAACCAACACCCTGATAAGCACCCAGAAGCAAACCAGCAGCCAGTGCAGCTTACAAAGCAGTGGTGTATCATGGGTTATTTTATGACCCCCAAAACTGCTTGTGCCATCACACTTCGTACTAATTGAAGCTTTCAAATTTATTTCAAGGATAAAGGTAAAGGTTCCCCTCGCACATTCATGCTAGTCGTTCCCAACTCTAGGAGGCGGTGCTCATCTCCATTTCTAAGCCAAAGAGCCAGCACTGTCTGATGACAATTCTTTAGTCATGTGGCCAGCATGACTAAATGTTGAAGGCCCACGGAACACTGTTACCTTCCCACCAAGGTAGTCCCTATTCTTCTACTTGCATTTTTACATGCTTTCAAACTGCTAGGTTAGCAGAAACTGGAGCAAGTAACAGAAGCTCACTCTGTTATGCAGCACTAGGGATTCAAACCGCCGAACTGCCGACCTTTCTGATCGACAAGCTCAGCATCTTAGCCACTGAGCCACCGTGTCCCCATATTTCAAGGATAGCTCCATGTAAATCTCATTGCAATAGTCTGGATGAGAAATGACTAGGGATTGAGTGACCAAGTGCAAGGGAGCATAAATTGAAGTTGTGCAAAGGCTCCCTTAGCCATGACCACCAGCTCTCTTTGGACAGGAGTCACGAATCCAGAGAACACCTCAGTTGCAAACTGGGTGGATAGTGCAACCCTATTTAGAACCAGATCTCCATGCACCTAAAGCCATTTGGTTTTGCCAGGGTTTAATCATAGCTTGTTGTCCCCCAACCAGGCCTCTGCAGCCTTATGGCACCATGAGAAGGAAGTATCAGCATCACTTCGGTCATCAGATGTGGAAATATAAAGTTGAATATCATCAGCATATTGATGATATCTCAACCCATGCTGACAGATGATCTTACCCAGTGGCTTTAAGTAGATGTTAGGCAGGAGTGGAGAGAGTATCAAGCCCAATGGCATGCCATAAGAGAATGGCTGGGGGCTAGATCACTCCTTCCCTATCAACACTGATTGGGATTAGCCTTGCAGAAAGGAGCCAAATCAATATAGAACTGTGCCACCCAACTCTAAACTCTGCAGCCACCCTGAAAGGATACCATGGTTGATGGTATCAAAGGCTGATAAGAGGTCAAGGAGAGCAAGAATGGTTGTACTACCACACTTCCACTCTCACTAGAGTTCATCCATAAGTGTGACTAATGTGGTCTCTGTCTCATAATCAGGCTTGAAACATGCCTGAAAAGAATCCAAGAAATCTGTTACATCCAGAACCCTCTGAAGCTGCCAAGCAACTATCTTTTGTGTCACCTTCCTTACAAAGAGAAGATGGGAAAATGGACAAAAGTTGTTTAGACATGTGGGATCAAATGAAGGTTTTTTAAAGGAATGGGTAAACAAGGGCCTCCTTGAAAGACCCCAGGAATGAGGGATGAGATATTTATTTATTTATTAGATTTCTATACCGCCCTACTCCCGAAGGACTCAGGGCGGTGCACAGCCAAACAATAAAAACACATACAATACAAAATTTAAAAAATAGAATAAAATCAAATTAAATAATTTTGGCCCCGACAAATTTAAAACCCCAAACTTTTAAAACCAATTTAAAATTGAATATATAAATACTAAAAAATATTTAAAATTTTAAAAATCTTTTATAAAAGAGGGGGAAAATTAGGCCAGGCCGGCCTGGTGAAATAGTAAGGTCTTTAAGGCGCGGCGGAAGGTGCGCAGATCCGGGATCCTCCGTATCTCTGGGGGGAGCTCGTTCCAGATAGTAGGTGCCCCCACAGAGAAGGCTCTCCCCCTGGGGGCCGCCAGTCGGCATTGTTTGGCTGACGGCACCCGGAGGAGCCCCTCTCTATGGGAGCGTACCGGCCGGTGGGAGGCTATTGGTGGTAGTAGGCGGTCCCGCAAGTACCCGGGTCCTAAGCCATGGAGCGCTTTAAAGGTGGTAACCAAAACCTTGAAGCGCACCCGGAAGACCACTGGGAGCCAGTGCAGCTCGCGCAGGAGAGGTGTTACATGGGAACGCCATGTCGCTCCCATTACCACCCGCGCGGCCGCACTCTGCGCCAGTTGGAGCCTCCGGGTGCTCCTCAAGGGGAGCCCCATGTAGAGAGCGTTGCAATAGTCCAGGCGGGAGGTGACAAGGGCATGAGTGACCGTGCGTAAAGAGTCCCGATCCAGAAAGGGACGCAACTGGCGAATCAGGCGAACCTGATGAAAAATCCTCCCGGTCACGGCCGTCAAGTGCTCTTCTAAAGACAGCCGTGAGTCCAGGAGGACGCCCAAGTTGCGAGCCCTCTCCGTGGGGGCCAATGATTCGCCCCCAATAGTCAGTGATGGCGTCAACTGACTATATCGGGACGTCGGAAACCACAGCCACTCAGTCTTGGATGGGTTGAGCCTGAGCCTGTTCCTCCCCATCCAGATCCGTACGGCCTCCAGGCACCGGGACATCACTTCAAGGGCATCGTTGGGGTGATCCGGGGTGGAGATGTACAGCTGGGTGTCGTCAGCGTACTGATGGTACTCCACCCCGAAACCACGGATGATCTCGCCCAGCGGCTTCACATAAATGTTGAACAGGAGAGGCGAGAGGACCGACCCTTGCGGCACCCCACATATGAGGGGCCTCGGGGTCGACCTCTGTCCCCCTGTCAACACAGACTGCGACCGGTCAGAGAGAAAGGAGGAGAACCACCGCAACACAGTGCCTCCCACCCCCAACTCTTCCAACCGGTGCAGCATGATACCATGGTCGATGGTATCAAAAGCCGCTGAGAGATCTAACAGGACCAGGACAGAGGAGCACCCCCTGTCCCGAGCCCTCCAGAGATCATCAACCAACGCGACCAATGCCGTTTCCGTGCTGTACCCGGGCCTGAAGCCCGACTGGAACGGATCCAGATACGTCGTTTCATCCAGGTGCTGGGGGAGCTGTTGCGCGACCACACTCTCAACAACCTTCGCAACAAAGCGAAGATTGGAGACCGGACGATAATTTACCAACATTGCCGGGTCCAGGGAAGGCTTCTTGAGGAGAGGCCTCACCACCGCCTCTTTCAAGGCGGCGGGAAAGTCACCCTCACTCAGCGAAGCGTTTATAATCCCCTGGAGCCAGCCTCGTGTCACTTCCCGGGAAGCCAGTACTAACCAGGAAGGACACGGGTCCAATAAACAAGTGGTCGCGTTCAGTCTACCCAGAATCCTGTCCACGTCCTCAGGGGTCACAGGATCAAACTCATCCCAGATAACATTCTCAAGACCTGCCCCTGTCTCTCCCCCTGAGACTACCCAGTCGGAGTCCAAATCTTCCCGAATCTGAGTGATTTTGTCATACAGATACTGAACAAAATCCTCGGCTCTACCCTCCAAGGGGTCCTCCCGCGCTTCCTGGTGGAGCAGGGAGCGGGTCACCCTAAAGAGGGCGGCCGGGCGATTATCTGATGACGCAATAAGAGCAGCAAAATAACTACATTTCGCTGCTTTTATCGCCACTAAGTAATTCCTAATGTGGGATCTTACTAGTGTCCGGTCAGATTCAAGAAGACTGGCCCTCCAACTACTCTCTAGGCGTCTTTTCCGGCGCTTCAACTCCCTCAGCTCCTCGGTAAACCAAGGAGCCAATTGAGATCGGCGCCGGGTCAGAGGCCGCAAAGGCACGACCCGATCCAGAGCACCAGCAGCCGCCCTATCCCAGGCGGCCACCAGGTCTCCAGTCGAGGCGTGTGCCAGAACCTCAGGAAATGGCCCAAGCTCCGTCTGGAATCTGTCAGGTTCCATCAGGCGCCTGGGGCGGAACCATCTGACCGGCTCCGCCTCCCTGCGGCGGGGTGCAGCGGTTTGAAAGTCGAGACGAAGGAAGATATGGGATGAAGAAACATATGTTTGTAACTTTACATGGGCTGAACAGTTACCAAATTTGTTTATTGTAATAAAGATTGGAAGTCTCGTCTTTAGATATTTCTTTTTTTTAATTATTTTCTCTTTTCTTCTTTCTTGCATGCTTAATCCTTCCTATTCTCTTTTCTTTCTGTAAGTTTACTTTATATCAGTTTTTACTATTGTAATGAAAATCCTTAATAAAATTTATATAAATGGAAAATAGAAAATCCTTAATAA